GTGAAAATTTCATGTCATTAGCACCTCTAGTAATATATTTACTGAGAAAAATGGTGACGTGTTCAATACTTATTTTACCTGCTGTATGAAAGTGCTGCTAACCTCCATGCTTTTGTTGTGAAATGGGGGAAAGACATCATTTGGAGTTGGCTTTTGAGTTGAAGGCAGAGTGAACTACTCGGACACGGAGCTCGCAGAGATAACTTTTGTTCTTATACTTCTGGTTTGTATCTATCCAGTCAAATCTTTTAGTTTTATAATGTTAAAAAAAAACAAAATAGGAAGAAACACAAGTTGAAAGTATTTGTTTTCTTCTTCCTGCTTCTTCTTCCTGTCAGCTCAGACATCACAATTCTGGCTCCGCCTCTTTGTTGCTGAAATGGATAATTTTCTGAAAACTCACCTATGAAAAACACAAACACTTTTTAATTTGTGATTTATAAACCATTATGAGTTGTGTTCTCTTAAGTTGTCTCATTCAGGCTTGATTTAACATTTGTGTTAAATTTTGGTTACTGACTTTAGCTGACACCATGAGTGAAAGGTCTCTGTCACAGGAGTATAGAAGGAAAATGTCCAGGTAGTTAAGTGCCATCAAGGTGTATTCCTAATGGCTAGGTAAGAAGTTTTCTGTGTTGACACAATGTGATGCTAATGTAGTCAACTGTAACAGATTCCTCTCTGCAATAAAATTGCAAGTGCAACAATAAAATTGAAGTTATTACAACTCACAGGGAAGTTCACAGGATTTATTGTTGTTAAAATGTATAGAGAAATTGGAGATTCATAGTTTTTACTACATAAAGTTTAAAGTTCCTGCTACTTTCATGTGAAGTAGAAGACTCAGCATTCAAAGTTTTTACAACCTAAAACTTTAAGTCCCTACAACTTTAGTTGAGTTACAAAAATGTGGAAATCAAAGTTTGGCGAACTCAAAAGCAAAACTTGAATAGTTAAGTTGAAGTCCAAAACTGAAAAAATGCCCTGAAGTTTGTTGCCTTACATTTTTCAGTGCTGTCTATTTTTTTTTTTTTTTTTTACAGTGAGGCTGCTCCAGGTGGGTCAGAGTGCAGTGCATAACATAAGGTAGGTGATGGCATCATCCACCCCGATGCCAGGCTGGCAGGCAAACTGCAGCAGATCCAATGAAGAAGTCACCTGATGGCGTAGATGGATGAGGACCAGCTTCTCCAGGGTCTTTGTCGTCAGTGTTGTATAAAGTACCACAAAGTGATACTTGAGTAAAAGGACAAGTATCTTACCAAAAAATTACTTTGGTAAAAGTTAAAGTTTCTTTAAGGAATATTACTTGAGTAAAAGTCTTAAAGTATCTGATATTTTTTGTACTTAAGTATTAAAAGTAAAAGTATTGATTTAAAATGAGCAGTTGGATTTTCCATAAGGACATTAAAGGAGGTGACCTCCCCAAAATATGCAGAAATGACTATATCATATTAAAATAATTAATGTTAAAGTGTATCTTACCCCCCTGTGAAAAGATAACTCCGCCCTAAGGTGAAATTTGAAAAATGCATCAAAGTGGGTGGGGAAGGAGGGGTTTAGAGAGCGGAGGTGTGGCCAGGACGAGAGAACGTGACAGCTAGCATTAGCATAATTGATGCTACATGGAGAGTGACCACATTATAGCAGATAGTTACATCTCTGAACGTCTGAGGTGGAGGATTTTCACCCCACACCAGCCTCGGACAGAGGAGGAGGAGCGCTCCGACAGCCTGACAGAAAAAAATAAAAGCATACAGCTGCAGCTGCTCACAAGATCGCTAGTTTAAATCAGGAATAAAAGTGTTGGGTCTTGTTTGACTGAAGTTCGGTCCGGTTCGGGCTGCAGCTGCCCCCTGCGCCGCGCTCTGCCTTTTTTTCCCCCCCCATTGTGCAGGACGTACAGGGGGCTGGTGTGGAGAGAGAGAGAGAGAGAGAGAGAGAGAGAGAGAGAGAGAGAGA